TGAGGTACGCCTTTCAACGACAAACACTGCCACAGGATCTCGCAGTCTACAGAGTCAAATGCTGCTTTTATGTCAAGAAAGACCACCATTATCGGACGCCGATAAGTATGCCTATGTTCTAAAACCTGACGAATGGTGAATATGTGGTCGATGCAGCCACGACCACGTCTGAAGCCAGCTTGGTTCTCGTATTTGCAGTTCACGAGTCTTAGTTAGGCATCCGATAATTATCGAGGCTAGTATTATAGATACTATATTAGTTAGATTAATCCCTCTATGGTTGTCACAGGATGATTTTGACCCTCTCTTATATATTTGGACGATAAGTGATTGTGACCAGTCAGATGGGATAACGTCTAACTGCCAGATCTTAGCTAAAATATTAGTCAACCTAATCGCTAAAATTGGACCACCATCCTTAAAGACCTCCGGAGCCAATCCATCTGGACCAGCTGCCCTTCCTCGTTTCAGATTAGCTATAGGCTTATGAACTTCAGCCAGAGTCGGGGGACCTACTTCAATGTTCCATCCACACTGTCTGGGAATGGTGGGTAGTTGTAGAATAGCTGAAGGCCAACTGAACTGTTCTCTGAAATGTTCTGCCCATCGTTCTAAACGCCTGGACTGGGAGCAGATGAGTGTATCGTCTTTTTCCGATATAATCTCACTTACACTTGACTTATTAATTCCAGTTTCTTTTATTAGTCTGTAAAGCTGTCTTGTGTTCCCTATAGTCGCCGCCTTTTCCATCTCTTTTGCTTTCGTTGCCCACCACTGCTCACGGTCGTTCCTTAGACTTTTGCTTAACCTAGATCTGATTTGTTGTCGCTCTTCATCGTGTTCAGAGCCTGATGGGATGAGTTTACGCGAATCCATCAATGAAATAGACCTAGAGGAAATGCATTGGTTCTTTGTAACCCTGTGGTTTAAATCACTGATAGATGTCACTGCTGTTTCCACAGCTGTTTGTATATCTTTCCAACCAACATTTGGGTCAGCCTCGTTTTCAGAACTACCTAAGTTTGACCTCAGTTGTTCCTGGAACCTACTTTTGGTTTTCTCGTTACTCAACTCAGTTCTAATGGGTCTTTTTAATGTGGCTTTTTCGCGTACAGTGAGGCGCAAGCAGATGCGTGCCCGTATTAGGACATGGTCGGAGTCCAAGCAGGTACTCCATAATGAGCGACAATCTTCTATCGACCCTCCCCAGCGACGTCTGATGGCAATATGGTCTATTTGAGTCCACCATTGGTTTGGTGTAGGGGGTCTCCATGTTAGACGATGTCTCTCCTTATGCTTAAAATTTGTGTTTGCTAAAAATAAGCGATTGTTTGAGCACAGTTGCAGCGGACGATCACCATTATCTGTTCGCTGTGCCGGTATACTGAAATACTCACCTAAATGCCTTTCTGTTTGGCTTAAGCTACCTACTCGGGCATTAAAGTCACCTGCTACGAGTACTATGTCTGAGCGTTTGGATTTCTAAAGAAGTTCAGAGAGCTTTCTGTAAAATTCATCTTTCACTTCATCCGAGCTGCAGTCAGTGGGAGCGTAGGCAGAAACGAGAAAAAGGCAACGGCGTGTGTCCCTATCCTTCCGAGTTTTTACGGAGCCGTTTAGCCGAACAGCACATAGGCGACTGTTGACGGGGATCCACTCTAGCAGTGCTTGTTCGGCCCTCATGCTTAGTGCTATGCCTACACCTGCCAGTCCACGAGAACTGGCCATCGGGTCACCAGATACACGTAGGGTGTATCTCGTCGGCTCTCCGCTTTGCCGAGGTGAGGTCAAGTGAATGACCACACTGGTATCCTGTATGCGTGTTCTGGAGAAACAGCATACATCAATGGTATAAGGTTTTAGGGTTTTAGTCAAGGAGGCCTGCTGATCGATCTGACATAATGTGCGTACGTTGAAGGCTCCAATGTGTAGTTCGGAGCGAGGTTTCAGTAGACCTGGGACAGTGTTTTGCGCACTAGAGTCGTTGGTCATGGTGACACGTGAAGAAGAAGACGAAATAGGAAGTTTAGAGTTGAAAGTCGATGTAGGAGAGATAATAGGAATTGAAGAGGGAGTTTGATTATGAATACAGTGGTCTTGATTGCTGTTAGAGGTATGAGGACGGTTATCACTTCCCGGTTGCCCACACCGTGGAAGGGTTCTTCTAGAGGTACCCAAAAATGAAATCGGGTTAGGGTTGGTCTTAGTGACCTGATAGCGTGACCGCAGTGCCCAAGAGACAAGTGCTAGAGATCGGTCACACGACCATTTTGTGTGTAATTTTTGTGTTAGCTCCATACATGAGAACTTACTTCCGGAGACGGATATATGTGAGATAAAGTGAGATGTGCATTTTTAGAGTCGACATTTTCTAATCCCATCCTTCCTTTGTGGGAGTGCAGCATTGCTGTCATGCTGGTTGTCTGAAGGAAGCACCTTACTGCTGTCACACCTCCGTACAGTCAGCAGTACTAATTCGCCTTCGGACCTTGGGTTTGTTGCTTTTGGCCTTACCTGTCTGACATGGTAGGACCTTGAGGAATGGTTGTTCCAACCAGTAGAGCTCGGTTGCTTCATCACGATAGGTGAGCCTGACCACCACGTCAAGGTAGCAACAACGGTCGGGCAAAACAATCAACTGGAAAATAAGCCTTTACCTCATACCCATACGATTTGAATTTTTTGCCTGTGCAAACCTCATATCTGGGTTAACTGGTTCTCTGATTGCTTCGGGAAAACTTGTTACTCCCTCCGATTCATCATACCACTGACTAGGGATTCTACTCAACATACATTGGTTGTGAAAATGTCCAACTTCTGATACAATAACTTCAGAAATGTGACTAGAATTCGACTCATTGGGAAAATATTTGTCACCTTCATTAGGAATATCACTAGGGATAAATCCATTGTGAGAACAATTAAAATTTGATTCTTCTGAAATATTTTCCTCAAATTTATTAAGAATTTCATTAAAGAATAATGGATCACTAGAAAAATCAGCATCTATCAGGACTGCGTCGAATTTTCGATCACGATATGATTTATTTAATATGTTTTCCTCAGATTTATAAGAAATTCCATCAGAAATATGTGAATCATTAGGACAAATCATAACCCACAGAATAACATGAGAAATCCGATAAGAAGTTGGTTGAGTAGGAACTTTTGTCTCACGATGATTTTGAGTGTCATTTAATTCTGGACTGCTATGTGACTCTATACTGCTTTTTAAAATCGTGGATAAAGATAAATGATCATTACAAATACTCAACTTAATATGATGAAAATTACAAAATTTAATATTAGTTGCAGAAAAATGAACAACATTACTATAACCTGACTGTGTCCAATCTCACCACATTTAAAGGATTTGGAATTACGAAATACACATGAATTAAATGAGTGAAACTTGCCATAGGACAAACATTAACCAAACTTGTGCACATCTTCGTGACCTGAATCGCAACTCCTTAATGAACTGTTATATAAATAACCTTGACTAGGATGACGTAGTAAAATAGTGGAATTCCTCATGATCTGACGAATCATTTTATGAAGTTTTCCTCCTTTACCGCATTCGAAATTTGTACACTTTACATGGTCTAGTAGTAGTTGCTCGAGAATTGCATGAGGGAGTGAAATCGGCTTGTCTGGAAATGCCAATCTTTATAAATCTGTACGCTTCTTTTCCGATGAATGTAAAGAAATGAGTTACAATATTAACACTCAACATCGTCCTTGGTCATAGTCCACATTTCAAACCTTTCCATGTAATCCTCAAAAGCGTCAAAGTTCAAATGTATGTCCAGACGTTCCATCACAGGCTCCTTCGCGACGTCAACGTGATAATTAGGAGTATTTGAATTATGGGCCCCTATATGCTTTGGTACGGCCGAGAGTGGGGAGAATCCACTTTCCCTCTCGAAATGCTCTCACATGGTCACGCGTATATAGCCTCTGCCTGGGAAGTCCTACTCACTGCCTTCTCGTGGCGGGGGTGTTGTTCACGAAATTGAGAGGACGAAAAGCGAATGTCCGGCGCTTTAACCGGGTTAGTGGATATGGAGAGTCCAGCTAGGGGAGTTGGAAAACCCTGACTCCAAACAAATGATGCACAAGGGCTCCAGGGTCCTGAGGGAACAAATGGCTTACGAACCAACTGTTGGTCACCGGCTACCATGGGACTGCATGTCCTTACGATGCTCCAATGCCTTGTGGGTCAGACCTTTAGGTCTAAGGCTCCGGATGTGGCCCCCTAAGAAAACCACCTGCTTCAGTTTGGGCACCCGGGCAGTGTCACAGCTCTCACACATATCAAATGAGATCTGTGTGGCGCATATGTATTTGGTGTCTACTTGTACCAATATCTATGTGTTCAAATAATAATGATAATTTGAAATATGCTACAAACTAAGAATCCCAGAATGAATGAGCTGCAAACCCTTGTCTTTCAATCGGTAATATATTAATCCAGAAGTGGAAAAATTACATCTATTGAAGCAACTATATATATATATATATATATATATATATATATATATATATATATATATATATATATATATATATATATATATATATATATATATATTTGTTACAAACATTTGGGATCGCAGTGACTAACAAGAGACTTCGCCAGTTATGATATCGCATTGGCTATTATTATTCAAATTAGTTCAGATCTCATTTAATAAGGTTTGTGAGCCTATTAGGTTAGCCTGCAGAAACCAATCGACTTATTTCATCTGATGCATTGGGTCGCTAGATGGTTTATTTTTTACGCTTATTCCATACAGGATTTGGTACACATATGTATTGGCTTGACTAGATTTCTTTACAAAAAGATTTTAATTCCTCAATGCATTTACAATATGCTTTCTTTTTGTAATTCCAGATGCTTGTTTATTCCTATTAAAAACAAAGTCTATTTTACTCAGAAAATATTTGCTACGGCAAACTAGACACTTGGGATTCATACTTTCAAAACGGCTTCTAAAATGAATGGATTTGCAAGACAAGGTGTCATTCGTGATGACAACGGTATAGTTTTATTTACTAGTAGTTTAAGTCTTGTCATATAGGTAATTTGATAATCCCCCCAACCCAACGACCCGATGGTACATGGAGAAAAGCCGTTCGTGTTAAAGAGGGGTACATTCCTCAAGAAGAAATTCCACTGTAGGTTATGTTGCTTTCCTTTGTTTTTACCAAATCTTATAAATTGCCTTAGTACTTGTTAATTTTACGACTCAAATATTTGGTGCATGTAGACTACCACAATTTCTCTCCGTAAAATGATAAAAATGAAGACCTTTAAAACTAAAAAAGAATAAAGCATGATTTCACTGGTAAATTAAAGTTTGTTAGCATTAAAATCTACAAAGATACTACCCATTAACTGAAACTTACGTAAATCTGATCATGTTATAACCCTCTGAAGTACATGATTTGTCAAACTTAACCTATATGAGTTTCTATACATCAGTGCTAACTGCTGAAGTCTATGAGCATTTTTAAATCGACATTCGAAAAATTATTCGTCTGTTGAAGATAAATTAATCTAGTCAATAAGTTTTCGGATCGTCGATCGAAGTATTCGAGATTTCGCAAAGGTTTGTGGAATTCTCAATGCTCTAGTTAATCATCGATGAAATGTGAATAGGCATATTCACAGCGAACACGCACTTGTTATTCCATGATACACTAGTATAGGTTATCTATAATTAAGTAGAAGTTGATACCTACTTACAATTAACAACCGTCTGTGTTGTTACTTCGTATCCGTTCTTTGTTATTCAGAAACCAATCATGCGTCAATGACGTGAATATACACACAAGATTACTGTTCTGTCTGGAAACGAAATATGCTTTATGTGTCGATTTTATTCTGGTAGGGAGAACAATAGATATCCAATTCGCTTTGTCGTTGGCAGCTTATGTGCTTGTACCCACAAAATGATTTCTTAAACGAGTTCCTCACATACGAATTCTTCATCTTCCTGTTTCGCCTGTTGGCGTTAGCTTTGAGGTCAATTCATTTATTGACTAGTCAGAAGATTTTGCATCATATACGTTACGCTTTTATTTTGAATATCCAGTTACCGATCTGCTGGTGTACAAATCCTTGAGAAGAAATCACAGTTCGTCATCCCAGGTTTGACAAAAGACGATGCGGAAAAGCTAAAGCTAGAACGACAAAAACAGTCACAATCTGATACACCAGCATTAAACCCAGTCCTTAAAAAGAAAAAATCTAAGAAATCAAAATGCAAACAAACTGATGTCCAATCTCCAGGTTAGTGCAACAATCCGTCAACTTACAATCTAGTCCAGTTAATAATTTTAGTGCCTTTTATTATATATATATATATATATATATATCTTCATGTAGAAACTAGATTTTCCATATCCAACAGACGTATTTTATATAACGTATGTTTCCTATACGTATCATCAACTTGTATGAAAATATTACCTGGGTCTCGAAATAATAAGAATGTAAATCAAAGCTTCGGCAAAGCAAGAGTAGCATATTTACAACTGAAGAACATCTGAGACTCAAAACAACTGTCTACCAACACCAAGGTCAGGATTTTCAATACAAATGTCAAGACAGTTCTACTGTATGGGGCAGAAACCTGGAGAACTACAAAAGCCATCATCCAGAAAATACAGGTGTTTATTAACAATTGTCTACGCAAAATACTTCAGATCCATTGGTCGGACACTATTAGCAACAACCTACTGTGGGTGAGAACAAACCAGATCCCAGTGGAGGAATGAATCAGGAAGAAGCGCTGGAAGTGGATGGGACACACATTGAGGAACTCATCCAACTGCGTCACAAGACAAGCCCTCACATGGAATCCTCAAGGCCAAAGGAAAAGAGGAAAACCAAAGAACGCATTACGCCGAGAATTGGAGATAGACATGAGAAAAATGAACAAGAATTGGATAGAACTAGAAAAGAAGGCCCAGGACAGAGTGGGTTGGAGAATGCTGGTCAGCGGCCTATGCTCCATTGGGAGTAACAGGCGTAAGTAAGTAAGTAAATCAAAGCTTCAGTAAAATCGTTGTATAGATATACATTTAAACAAACGAACCAACTTCAAATGAATAAATAAGATATTTCTGATCAATTGAAAATGCTTGATTATTAACCAACTGTTTTTTTCTTATTTTGAAGATCAATATTCTTTTCTGCTAATAGGATAATAACCCCATACAGGATGAAATAACTACGTTGTAAAAAGCTAGGAAATAAAAATCCGCAAAATGGGGTTATAGTTAAAGTGAATATCCATTCTCTTAGAAGTAAAATTGATATTGATAGCACATAGGAAAACTTCGTCATCATTGTAGCTGCTGATTTAGATTTCATAATCAAGTTTTTGAATCTTTATAATTCCACTCACAGTTCTGATGAGCTGCATAATTGTCCTTCATTCGACGATATCATACTGGTGGATATTATATACCATATGTTACTTACAATAATACTTGTTGCCTGATTTCACTGATAATCTGCAATATAAATTGCTCCTATCATTTTTGTGCAGTCAGCTCCTCATATCTATCATCACCGCTAGTTACGTGTAGGAAGATCTTATATAAATACTCCATAAAGTCATCATTCATATGAGTCTACTCAAAAAAGGTGTTTTGATGTAATTCGAAATTGCTTCGATTTTATTTTTAGGAACATCAGAGCAAACAGAACTGGATTCAACAAAACTTACAAAATGCAGTACTACTTCACCAAATTACTCTGATAAAATGAACATTGAAATTCCAACTGATGCAACCGTGACTAACACTGAAAATATTGATCGACAGCTTAAACGTGAACATAAACGATTACTCCAAATAGAAGAGATAGAGAAAAAGAAACAAGCTGGAGAGAATTTAAACAAAGACCAATTGATAAAGTTAGGCCACAAACAAGCTGTTGAACAGCTCATTGAACAGCTGACGTTACTTAAAACTAACTGACGTTGTCCTGCCCTTTTTTTCGACAGCAGAATCGATTTCGTTTTTTTACTTTTTCTGTCCCCACCCCACTTTGTTCCAAGTGTTTTTAAATCGAATATAACAGAACCAAACTAGACAAGATTAAGAATACACTGATGAATTTATTAAATAATTGGTCCACTACCAATAAACATATGTTATTAGTTAGTAATTACTGAGTTAAACAAACTAATGTGATGCAACGGCATTTGTGCATGTTCAATGTAGATATTTTTTTTTCATTAGCGTTTTATAAACTTCAATTTCTATATGGAAAAATATGGTACTTTTAATATCTTTTACAATATGTTTGTATAATCGATGTAATATATAAATTATAATCACACTTATTTTGTTGTATAAAAAGTATTGTTGCTGGTTGAAACAAAATTTTCATAAGTGTACACCTATTTAACTCAAAGTTTAATTATGATTATAAAAACAATCTCAAGAACGATTCATGTAACAGGATGCAGTTATTTTGTGCAATACTAATTGTATTTATGAAAACAAAATAACTTCAAATTAATAGTTAATATGTAGTTTGCAAACAGTAGTTTAAAATATTTTAATACTATTCTTGTCATGGATTATTCATATTGTGATATGCGAATTTTGTTATAAGTGAATTATATCGTGATGAATTTTATGCATTTACCGCGAATTCAATATGAAGCATTTGAACATCAATGTTACGTCAAACAAAATGTTTGCAAATGAACAGATGCTTGTTGTGAAAGATTAAAAAAAAAACACAAAATATCCTAAGTGTTTTTGTTCCACTGTTAAGTCTTGGTAAAGGCTAGTTAACATAATAACTCTTGTCAGTTTTAATATGACAGGATAAAAAGACGAAAATATTTTCATGTGTCAACTGATCGTCAACTTTGTTCAATATGATAAGTGTCAAATTTCGTTCTATGTAACATATTCTGTATCGGGTATAACTTATGCCCCGGTCGATTAACAAGTGACAAAATCGCCAATCAGAATACCGACGTCTCTGACCTTGTCCATGTACTAAACCAATTACGAATAAACCAGCACTAGCAGCCTTGAGTTAACTCTGAATCGTTATTGGTCCTCAAATATGGTAGCTTCTCGCCTTGCCCATTCAGTTCAGAACACAATATTGGCATCCATTGTGTGAATGATATACTTCAGAAATACGTGATTTATATACAAGCAGACCAGACCCCATCTCATCATAAAGTAAAAAAATAAGAATTATACAAGGTCAAGCCAAAAGTGGCTGTATGTGAGGCTGTAAATAATAGACTGGGAACAAATTAAGAATAGTAAGTTGTACAATAGTGACCAATAGGTCAAATGAAAGCTTATGATAAAGAGAGTATAAATATATATAATCTAGCTACTTAATAATTATCCAGTAAGAATATATATAATAACAGTCCATAAATAATTCCTAGCAGTTACTATCCATTTATTCGTCGTTCGGATTTAACAGGTGAACTATATTCAGTGTGTTTTTACAGTAATTGTTTCCCCTTGTAATATTTTGTGTTAAAATTAGTACATAAATAATTGTATTTTATGCCTGAGGACAAAGTTTTTGGAGAGTCAATAAATCTTTATTGCACTAGTCTTTCGTGTTCTCATTTTGCGTTGTGGGAATTGTAGTGATTCCCGTTTCCCAGTAAAAACAATAAGATTGGGGAAGTCCATTAGTTACCGACTGTCAAACAATGGCAGTAAGACTGCAGACACAACATAGTTAGTACGTATGTAACAGTGCCGATACACCAGACATAACAGTTTTAGTTCATCCACTTTTCAGAAGTACATAAAAATAAAAGATGGTGTGTGATACTGATGTCGATAGATATCAGTAATATGTACCATCAACTGAAAGTGAAATACCTGACAGCAAAGGTGAAGAAGAGCGAAGAAAAGAGAACAAGAACAAAGAATGAATGTTATGGAAACAAAGGAACAGTGAAGTCTGAGATGATTGACTGATATTTGCAAAGGAACAGTCAAGTTTTAGAAAATTGATTGACATTTCGCAAATTATTTATTGTATGGCTCTCAGATTTTTCTAAGTTCTGTAATTTTGTATTTAAATGCATTCGATTGTACCCATTTGTGTCATTATTCACTGCAATAGACTTAAAATATAACGGTATTTTCTTTCTACGGTACAACGAAAAGTGGATATGTCCACGTTACGAACTTCCATTTCAAGTCACGCCTCTGGTTTTAACTATAGTGGTCCCAAAGTAACAGATCCATATACCCAGAAGACACTCTACATTTATGATATCTCTCTGATAGCTTATTACTGAAAGTGACTTAGCAGTCATGAACTATGTATAATGTTAAAAAAACCCACTGTAGATATTGCCAGTTTAGTGATAGTACATAACATGAAGTGAGTGATTTGTCCGTGAATCCCTCTGTGTCTTTCTAAACATTATTATCAGCACAAGTAGTTGATGTGTAATTGTGTTGCTCTGTTACTTTGATTATGTGCTCCCCTTACTTTTTGGTTAGTGGCTGTTTTTTCTATAGGCTGATATATCCAATCTATCAACATGTATATCAATATCTACACTATTTTTATACACATTTTGGTAAATTATTTCCTCCTAACTGAAGTTTCGACTCAGACATTCGATAAATAAATCAACTGGCCTGAAAAAAGCCATACGTTATCAAACTAGTAGCTGTGAGCTACGAATCTTCATCATCTTATGGTATACAATTGAAAATATTTCACTGCAAAAATAACTAAAACAAGCAGACCTATTACGTATTCTGTATACAAAAACTTTTTAAAACACAACAAAAATGATATATTCACATGTACTTTTTTAATTGTGAGCATAATGGTTTTAGAAACGAAATCGAATGTCAAAAGCAGTTATATCCAAGTGGAGTGAATTTATGGGTTACTGATGTAAATTTGATTAAACACTTTTTTTTAAAAGATTTTGAGAGGTGTACATCCAGTTAAATAAATTGTTATGATGGTATTTTGTTTTATTAACCGATATATATATATATATATATATCAAATATTATTATAAGAGAAAAATAGGAGAGGATGCGATACATATACATAGTTGTTATATAATAATATCAGGATCGTCACAACATAGAGAGATTATTTAATCGTGTAGTAGGATGTAGAAGAAATATGTTTATAAAACAATAAGATTGCACCAACTAACACTACTACACATAAACAACTATCTTGAAAATGGAGAAGGGAAAAAATGCTCTGACAATTTTCATTAGTTTTTGTTTGAAAAAAAAGTACAACCAACTTGGTGGTGACAACAACGCTTATCCCTTGAATGTTTCACTGGTTTATATATATATATATATATATATATATATATATATATATATATATATATATATATATATATATTGCCTATACATTATCTTCTCATTAAAAGACAGCAACAAAAGAAATAAAATGAGGAAAATGCATACAACAAATAAAAGTGAACAGAAATTTTTAAAAATACAAACAAACAAAAGCCACATTAATTCGAAATGAGAATATGCACACATACATAGGTTAAACTAAAAGTTTGTGTTGAAAGACAACCAAAATTTATAAAAAGAACTTTGAGCAATATTAATAAGTAAGAACAATAAATGGAATAGAAATGGGCAAATATTACATTGTTATTAAAAGCATGCATACTATGTATATATACTGAACACTAATAATTTGTATTAATGTTCCTTGTGAAGTAGAAATTCTTTGTAATTCAACAAATGATTTATACGTGTGAATTACTATACACAAATGCAATTCGTTTGTCTGTTAGTTGAAGAAGTAAATTGAGATCAATTAGATTACAAAATGTATGTGTATGAGACACTGGAGAGTTTGGTGTGCATGCACTTTAAAAAAATTAGTCAATAATGATGTTTTTAATAGAATAAAACGATAGAATATTAATGTAGGACGGATATTAGGAGGTCCGAAAATGGTAAATAAAACCAGCCAATAATTAAATTGTCACGTTAGTGCAGAATGTAAAGAAAAACGAATCCGGTTGATACAGCTATTTCAGGATATAATGGCACGTCGAAATGAAGGTGAAGATGTTAAGCTATCCAAACTACCCCATTTTTTCTTAGTAAGACATTTTTGAACAAGATCATGAAATTGATCGTCCATTACTCGTGAAAATGCCTAAATATAAGTTAATAATCAGATACTTTCAGAAAAGTAGTTGTGTAATCATAAATTTATATAATAATTCTCATTTCTACTCATTTTATTTCCGTTATACATTTATCAACACACTTTGAAGTCCGAATGCTCAGAATGTTGATAATTTACTAAGATATTTAAGTCTAATCATCTTTTAAATTTTTGTAAAGGTCTTAAAGAATGTAGGACAGTTGATGGCATACTCGAACTTTTATTGTACAATAACATGTATGTCATAGACGGATTACATCAAAATTTATTACGTGGATTAATTTATTCATCCTTCCGAAATACTTTCATAACACCGTGATTATACAGTACGTCATAGAAATCGTATACGGGTATTCGTTCATCAGAGTATTATTTTACGTAGTTGAACTCAAGTACCACGGATTAAGTTGAAAACTCAGGCATCTTGACAAGAGATTATCACATGACAGGTACTTCGTTGAATGTTTGAAAGATACTAGCTGTGGGGAAGATTACTGAACAGTAGTATCACAGTTCTTAGACAAATTATAGTATGAAACACTAAAATATGAGCTTGATTCTATCTAATTTTAAATCCGAATAATTACAGAGGTTAAGCATCATAATCAATATAGTTCATGATAGAACAAACAAACCCTAGTATCTTGATACTATGATTTATTTATCATGTGCTTTGAAAAATGTCATATTTTATAGATATCAAAATGAAACAATATCTTACTAAGACTTCATGTTTCGATGGCATTTTGATATTTAAAAAAACTGGGCCTTACGTATAAATAAAGACTAACATCATATAGCTATTCGAACATATGAGTGTTATTTATTAGTCTCACAAAAAAACTTCTAAAACCTTTACTAGTTCTTATTTCACTAATTAACTTTTTCACAGGAAATGGGATAGATGTCATAGTGATTCCAAGTTGGTATACTATCCCCATAAAATCGTAATAATAAAATATGAAAACGGAATCGAGAAAGTTCGCATATATCTATATATACCTCAAGTTTATAGGCACGATCGGTAGATAATAACGTTGGCTGATAACTAGGTCCACATAGTGATCTAATATCAAAATAATATTTCGCATAAACTGAACTAGGTACATTAATATTGAATTGAATTATTTCCAAAAATCGTCTTTCTAATTCATTTCTAAAAATAAATAAAAAAAGAAAGCAATTATTACAATAACAAAAAAGTTATCAATAAGTAGTCAAATGAATTTCTCTAAAAAAAATTTAACCGAACAAAAAATACGAACACAATAAACTTGTAAATATTTTGAGAAAATGTTTATTAAAAGCAACAATGAATCAAAATGTAAACGGTACGTTCCATATCAATTTAGAATGTTTACATAGATATCTAGAAAAAAACTAATTTTAGTCATTTGAATGGAAAAAAACCTACACGTTTTCATTTTTGTAGACAATTCAAATTTTTAGATTTATCCATTATGAGATTTTTTCTGAATTCCTGTGTATAACAGTCAAAATTGAAAGTTGGAAAATAAAATATATGGATCACATACAATTCAACGACGCCTCATATACAATGTACACACATAATATCTTAAGGTTATAAGTCAGATGAAAGTATAAGTGGATATAAGTAAATTAATTATGCAGCAATCAAAATTCACTATTCACATGTTCACGAAGTTTTCCTATCTGTAAGTATAAATATACAGTTTTGTCTGTACTCTCTGTCTAGTTTAGCTGTCTAGGCATGTGAACAGTATCTTTACAGAACTACAAATGATAAGAGTATACCAAAGTTACAACTGCTACGTGTGGCATGATGCCTGAATCTTTAAAATACAAATAGAGATAGCATCATAGAATCTCCTGCTTTGTTTTGGGCACCAGGGCAGTATCACAGCCTACACATAAATCAAGTGATTTGTGTGGCGCATATTTATTCGGTGCCCCTTCGTACTAATTTTTATGTGTTCAAATAAATCATAAAATCTTGAACAAAAAGAGTATAGGTTCAAGTTCTCAAGGAATGGTATTAAAGTTTAGTGAATCACTGTGATAGATCTTGTGCCTCTCCACAAAGTTGGCTAATTATGTATGTATATTTGAAATAATAGCTTCTATCAAACTCAGGGCTCCAATCAAGACATTTGACCAACAGTAATTGATCTCGTAGAAAATTGGTATGTTTTAATCTTATTTTTAGTTTATTTTCCAACCTAATCCTTAATTCAGTTGGTACATGAAGCTTTGAATACAGTAGAAAGAAATTAGATATAAAAAGGCATTGAGTTAAGGGAAATTTCATGTGCATATATCAACTCTACTGTACCTAAACAAAGACATTAAAAATTTTGAAAAAAATATACATATAGAGAGAAACCTTATCAGATAGTACATGCTATATCATTTTTTTATTGAGTGAAGTCAGGTGCTTGCAGCTTACATAAATTCACTTTACTTCATGATGTCAATAATGGTGAAAAAAAGCGTTGATAATCAGTAGTACATATTTTCATAGTCATTTTTTAATGAGGTGAACGAAAATATTACAGAATAATAAAAATTACAAGTTATAAAATTCGCCTTTAATTTATACGTGCGTGCACTGTGCTGATATGACATGGTGGTTGGAGGTAGTCAACAGGAAATTATGAAACAATATATTGTGCTATTCGGTACTCGTCAGCAAAGTGTACCTGTAATTTTGAGGGAACTGATGCTTCCTGAAGGACCCGATCCCGTGTCACCCAGCTTTACAGTCAGAGACGTTATCACTAAGCTATACAGGCCGCGACTGACCTTGTGTAGGCCTGGAACGTATTTAAAATCCATTGATCACTGGATAGTGATCGACTACCTCCAACCAAAATAACACTTCTAGTTTAATCGGTTTGCACATAAAACACTACTGACTTTGATAGCATAAACTAATCTCAGTCAGTCAGTCATCTAAAACGTAGAACCAGGGATATATGTGCATCGGTCCAAGTTGCCATATCTTATTAGCACAGGAGAACACCAAATTCATAGAAGCAGTAGTAATATATATAAGAAAAGATTGCATTTAGAGATATGATACAGGGAGAAAGAATTGGTTCGTGGAAAGAAAGGTATAAAGTCATTTTAATCTCACGGTTTAAGGGAAGACAAAGAGTGTATATAAACTACTTTAAATGTCCTTAGTCATTGATCATTATACACAGAATTCTTGTTTCATAATAATGAACAAACTGCAACGTAAATTTTTAGCCTTTTTTGTGATTCATTGTCCAGCAATTACAAATAGCACGAGTGTAAGAGTTTTATAAATTTTATGTGGTGTTTAGTATTCAATTCTAGTCATCCATACACCCTCAAAAGTCACGTTAAACTCAGTAGATATTTCGAAGATATCAGTATTAAAATATACTATTTTGTTTACCATTCTAATAAAAATAGATACACAATCGCACCATATACTAAATAATTAGTATCTATGAGGACTTTATCAGTGTCACAGATGAAACAATGTAATTAAAGAGTTGAACCTGTACACGTACGATATATAATTAACATTCTGATAACAACGTACGTTATCAAAATCAAAACTTTTACTAAACGCAAGTTGAACAATTAAGAGTCTGAACTAAACAGCTGGTATTTTTTTCAATTATATACGTGAAGAACTAACTTTCAACAACTAAGTTTTCAATTTGAATCGAACTGTATCTATTACAGTTAAATATTAGTATCACTAATTCCTGTGTAAGAAATGTGACTCAAGATGAAAACAATGACCTATATTTTTTGTTACTGGTACTCATCATCTAAGAGATATAGAAAAGTCAGCAGAAAAATTACTGTTTTGTTTACAGATTGATGATAATAAGTTCAAAACAAGATGGAATTTACAAACGATTTAATGAAAAAAATGTACATATATATAGCAAGAGAACCAATCAATAAATCACAAAAATGTTTAATTGATCATCATAAAGAAACGAAAGTGAAATGTATTTTTATTATCTACTTAATGAAAGCTATTGCACAGTATGCGTGCTTCATCTCTATTTCATAAGATCAACTTTCATGACAAGTGTTTATTTTGAAGAAGAAGAAAGTAACATTTATTTTCAAATAAAAGTTTGATTTGAAAAGAATGTGGTTAAAATAAATTTAATCTATCAAAAATATGATCCATATACATTATTATACGTAGGCTGGTAAGTTCGTTTTATTAGATAGTATGGTTGTGCAGATGTTATTAGTTAAACTTAACTCCCATCTATAGGGTAGATAATCTGACAGGTATGAAAACTGAAGTCACATAAACTTTAATTTACAAATTCTACAGAACATTGAACTTATTCTATTCAAAACTCCATACTTTTGATAATACATATGTCATTTATATCGTTTAAAACATCTCTGGAAGTCCTCAGAAGTCAGATTCTTCAGGTATCACATTGTCTCATACAATTTTCTCAATTCCAAATAATTTGCTAATGTCGTGTGCACAAACCGTTTTCTTCCACATTTAGTCTATCAGTGGCGATTGAAACACAAGAGACTGTATGGATTCAGTTTCATTAAAATTGGAGATCGATGGTTGTTTTTGTGTTTAAAAAGTCATGACCCCTCATGAAACCTTAGGTTTACTTGAGTACCGTTGTTGTATATAATGTATTATTTTAGTAAAAAAAATAATAATTTCCTCATGAATTTGCAGTTTTTTCCAAGTTCTTTTCCGGGCACTCATTGGACAGTAAATGTAAGTTAACTGGTCATCATAATTCATTAAAAATGAGTTGACATAAAAGTATTAACTCCAAACAAACTGTCGTTGTGTTATATATTCAATTCAATACAGTTCAAAAAAGAACTACTATTCATTTAAAATATTCAGCATTTATTTTGAAACCCTGGTAACAAAATAATTTCGATAACTTTAAAGAGATTGAAATTAACAGTTCTCATTAAAAAATTTAAGAACAAAGAATATTACAGAGAACCATCGTTATCGATAACTTTTTTATCAGGCTCTACAACTATCAATGCAAAATGATTATTATTGTGTTACAATAGAAATAATCTATGTCATAAATTGGAAATGTCAAATTTCAACTTTAATATTTTATCTATTGTATTATAATCACAATAATTTTGAATTGATAGCTCTAGAGTCTGATAAAGAAGTTATCGAAAACGATCGTTCACTGCAATATCTTTTGTTCTCAATAAATAATGAATACAACTGTAATACAGATTAAGTCGGTCAATCGCAACGTAGAACCTAGTACGTATCTATATCGGTTCAAGTTACCATATCCCATTCTATACATGGAACGTCCGGACAATGTGGAAGACCAGTAAAATAGCAACGGAAATGAGGAGATAAAACTTAGCAGTACTGGGAATCCGCGAAACCCATTGGACCAAACCTGGACAACAAAGGCTAAATACGGGAGAGATGCTGCTATACTCCGGTCACGAAGAGGAAAATGCTCCACACACTCAGGGAGTTGCTCTAATGCTGTCCAAAGTAGCACGAAATGCACTTGTAGGATGGGAATCTCACCGATCCATAATCATCAAAGCATCATTCAAAACAAAGAAGGAGGGGATCACAATGAATATTATCCAATGTTATGCACCCACCAATGATAGCAACGACGACATTAAAGATCAATTCTACGAGCGGCTGCAGTCAATCATAGAGAAATGCTCAAGAAAGAACCTCACCATTCTGATGGGAGATCTAAATGCCAAGGTCGGAATAGACAACACTGGATATGAAGATATTATGGGACGACATGGACTGGGAGAAAGAAACGAAAATGGAGAAAGATTTGCAAATGTGTGTGTATTCAACAAATTAGTCATAGGAGGCACAATATTTCCACACAAACGTATACACAAAGCCACATGGATCTCACCGGACCACACTACAGAGAACCAGATAGATCATATTTGCATCATTGAAAATTCCGAAGGACAATGGAAGATGCGAGAACCAGAAGAGGAGCTGACATAGCTTCAGATCACCACCTAGTTGTGGCCAATTTAAAACGGAAGTTAAAGGAAAACTGTACAACTAGACAAACAGCACTACAAAGGTTCAATACAGCCTTCTTTCGAGATACTGACAAACTCAATGAATTCAAGATAGCTCTCAACAACAGGTTACAACCCTTACAGGATCTACTGAAGGAAGAAGAAACTACTATGGAGGACAACTGGAAAGGTATCAAAGAAGCATTAACTTCAAAGTGTCAAGAGGTTGTGGACCTCAAGAAGAATCACCATAAGGAATGGATCTCTACAGAAACACTGGACAAGATCAAAGGAAGGAAGAACAAGAAGACAGAAATTAACAACAGCCGAACACGTGCAGAGAAAGTTCAAGCACAAGCTGAATACATAGAAGCAAACAAGCAAGTGAAGAAAAGCATTAAAGCCAACAAGAAAAAATACGTGGAAGAACTAGCAGAGATGGCGAAAGAAGCTGCTAGAGAAGGAAATATGAAACAACTATTCGATACAACGAAGAAACTAACGAGGAAATACAGTAAACCAGAGAGACCGGTGAAGGATAAAGAAGGCAGGCCAATCACTGAAATTCAACAACAGCGCCCAACTTCGAAACCAACAAGCTGGATTCCGTAAGAATCGATCGTGCACAGACCAAATCGCGACACTACGGATCATCGTCGAACAATCAGTTGAGTGGAACTCAACACTGTACATCAACTTCATTGATTATAGAAAGCCATTTGACAGTGTAGATAGGAGAACGTTATGGAAACTTCTTCGACACTACGGAGTTCCTGAGAAGATTGTCAATATTATCCGGAACTCATATGACGGACTACAATGCAAAGTATTGCATGGAGGACAGCTGACAGATGCATTCCAAGTAAGCACCGGAGTCAGATAAGGCTGTCTACTTTCTCCCTTCCTCTTTCTTCTGGTGGTCGACTGGATTGTGAAGACCTCGATATCTGAGGGAAAACACGGAATATAATGGACAGTTCAGAATCAATTAGACGATTTGGACTTTGCAGATGATCTACACCTTTTATCGCATACACACGAACAAATACAGATAAAGACAGCCAGTGTAGTAGCAGTCTCTGCATCAATAGGCCTCAACATACACAAAGGGAAAACCAAGGTCCTCAAATTCAAAGCGGAGAACAGCAATCCAATCACATTTGATGGCGAAACCGGAAGATGTAGAGTCCTTCACATAGCTAGGGAGCATCGTCGATGGACAAGGAGGTTCAGATGCAGACGTAAAGATGAGGATTGGTAAAGGAACAAAAGCGTTCCTACAATTGAATAACATATGCAACTCAAAACAACTTTCAACCAATATCAAAGTCAGAATCTTCAATACGAACGTAAAGGCAGTTCCACTGTACGAAACTGAAACTTGGAGAACTACAACAACCACCATCAATAAGGTACAAGTATTTATAAATAGCTGTCTACGCAAGATACTCAACATCCATTGGCCGGATACCATCAGCAATAGCCTTCTGTGGGAAAGAACAAACCAGATTCCAGCTGAAGAGGAAATTAGGAAAAGACGATGGAAATGGATACGACATTAATTACGCAAATCATCAAACTGCATCACGAGGCAATTCTTAACTTGGAATCCTGAAGGGAAGTGGAAAAGAGTAAGGGAAATAGAAGCAGATTTGAAAAGGATGAATAACAACCGGAAGGAGCTGGAAAGGATTGCCCAGGACAGAATTGGATGGAGGATGCTAGTGAGCGCCCTATGCTCCTTCATGAGGAGTACCTGGCGTAAGTAAGTAAGTACCATACCCCATTAACACAGAGATGAAATGTTCAGACCAAACCCCAAAATAGCAGAAGTAGTAAAGATCAAGTAAGGTATAATGAGTTTCATGTTACTTGTAAAAACAATAAACACGCTTACATCTCATGTATAAACACAATGAAAGAGTGATTCAGAGGATTTAATTATTATCCTCATATTATGTAGACCTCATTTATTATAATTTTATGTGACCATTATAAAGCTATGGTTAGCATTTGATTAAATGAATAATTTAGAAATAATTAGGTGAACAACTCAAACATATCTGATTCAATTACAAACTGACCGACGTAAAAGCCAAGAAATCTAAACATGTAACTCATAAAATACGTTACTTTTAATAATATACTTTATCAATGTACTTGTTAACTAAAAATAGCTTATGCAAAGTTAACAGAGTGATAACTAAGTGTTGAAATCAATTAAAATAATGTTTTTCAATGATAATTTACTTCAGTCAATGTAAAATTATCACTTATTCCTAAAAAACACCTATTCAATTTTTTATTAATACTTAATGTCTAAGGTTTAACAATCGATTGCTGTCTTGTCATTCCTTTTTTATATAATCATTATTCCCATCTACCATGCATTTACCTTAGTTAAGTAACCAGTGAAAATCAGGAAGCATTGGTTCAATTGTAAGAGCACTGGTTACGGTTGGAGTTTAGCTATGTCAGGATTGAGGCAGTTACCCACTGAAGGAAATGGGAGATGGTTGTGTAGTATCGCGAGTTGGTGTAAGTTAGCTATCTAAATCATTGGATACAGGCTGTTTGATCTAAAGGCTTGCCTTGAGGCCGGAATATCCTAGGATGCATCATCGGTGAAGTCATTAATCTGTACTGTTGAGGGGTCTTACAGTAAGATTAGGAAATTGAAAGCCGACTTATAATTACTATCGATTGTGTATGTATTCAAACAAACAAACAAACTGTGATTTGGCCAAATGAAACCACCTGTCTACTAAATGTACATTTGTAAATACTTAGACGGGATTAGGTTTGATACTGACCAAAGTGGTCAACTATTCATACAGAATTATTTTGAAAAAGAAACTATTCACTTTAAAAATTCTTGTATTGAGAGATTGAGACACAGAGAGAGCAACGAGATGTACAGTTTAGGAATTAGCATATTCCATTAAACTCGTTCAAATCTACTGTTTCAGATCTATGTGTACACACGTACACGCACAGAAAACAGGCAGGATTAACAAATTGGGCGAAGGGAAATAAAAATGAATGGAAAACTGCAAAACAATAAAAAAGCATTAGGTTTTAAATAATACTAAATTTGGTTGACAAAAATAATTCGCTTATCATTGGTGTTTGAATCATCCCATTAATGTTTAGAATTGCATTTCATCAGTTTCTTATTGGTAAATATACATCCTGTGTGGATTGCCCCCATATTGTCATTAAGTCACAAGTATTTCGGGCAGAGATGGATGGTAGTTAGTAGTGGAATACAGGACACAGGTTTTGACCTATTTGGGACGCACCAGCTTGATGTACTTGCATCCCAGAGTTGATGTTCACTCCGAGATTCCAGAACTCAGTAGCTAAGTGGACAACGGGATGACGTTTGAACCGAATGGTACTCACATTGAGTCTCAAAGTGAACCTCAATTCCAGCTGACGAGTCCCAAATAAGTGGAAACCCGTAGCCTGGATTCCACTGCTAGCCACCATCCATCTCTGCCTATACAAACAAAAATAGATTATGTAAGATATTATCACCGCTATTATTACTACTTAGTTAAAAGTTTTAATTTCAAGTTATATGATTACGGAAATTTTAAATAGTTGGAAACTCTCTCTGCTTTCGAAAACAATAGAAACTGTTTTAGATTTTATTAATGGAGAATTGATTCTACTATTATTATTAGTAGTAGTAGTATTAGTAAAAACTCAAACATTGCTTATCCATCGGTCATTGCAGAGCATGGTATAGTGATAATAATTCAAAGGTATATTAGTTAATATATTAAATTCATTTATTATAAACTTTTTTCCTTTTTCCGTTCGATGTTTTTCATTGTTCCATTTATAGGAATTTAAATGAAAAATTTAACCAAATATGAAAACACTTGGATATGTAGTAGACCAAAACTAAATGAAAATGGGATAATTTATATTTGATATAAGTATGTGTGTGTGTGTGTGTATTTCTGTTTCGGTCAACAAAGGAACAAATATACATACATATAATTACTACCAATGACCGGTATCATTGTTTTCTTTAAAAAAGATTTGACATTGTCAATTTCTCATCATGAAAATAATATCATAATACTCCACTGCTTATGTAATGCACATACGAAACAATTTTCATTACAAGATAACCACTTCACTTCATTCTCTCTCTCTCCATCATTCCCCTCTCTTGCATACGCATAAACACAGAAATCCAACTCATCTGTCTATAGGATTTCTACCTTAACAAAGGAGTTATTTTTTGAAAGCAAAGCGCACTAAAATAAAAGATCAACTTTTTAAACAATTGTAAAGGAAACAAAAAAGAGATGTGAAAGAAAGGGATAGTTAACGTTATTCTGATTTATTGAATATTAATGGAAAGAAATATTTAAGCCCTTAAGTAATTATTTCTAAGTTATAAAAATTGGAATTTTGATGATTAATGATAGAAAAATAAGGTGAAAATAATATTGCTGGGAAGGCTTACGTCGTTACATCATATTATTCATAATTCAATATAACGTATAGGAAAAATAATGTCGAATTGCGTTTAAGTTGAAAGTGACATTTACATATTTCAATAAACACTGAGTAAATTTCAGTGGTGAATTTTAAGTGGTATATGGCATAAACATAAGATTTGATATCAACTGGTTTGAGACAACTGATATAAGGCTTTAAACTTCATTTACATATTGACAAGTACTTATTATCAATATGTATAAGCAATGTTTAAGGAAATAACCCACTTCCTGTTGGGCCCCAACCCGGGTCATTCAATAACACAACCACTAAAAGGTTTGGCTCGAAAATGATCTCCTGTAGGATTGAGAGGATTAAAGCAGTGAAACGGATGTGAACGTAATGTAGTGTCGAGAAAACAAAATATATGTATATTAAACCAACAGAGTACATAGTTCGAAACTTACACATCATCAACTTGCATATCTTTTAAAATTTGACAATAATCTACATTCCAAACAGCTTGGTCATCCCATACTTTACTAGCCAGTACTATAGCGCATAAAACTATTCTTTTCCAAGAACTTGGTGTCAATTCTGTCTCAGCACTAGTCAAAAGACGTTCCAAGTAAACCTATATAATAAATCAGATTTAAAAAATTAAAATAGGTTTCACTGACTAGCATTATTTGTACATTGTGATCTTCAAACATTAGCAAATATCTGTATCGAAAGCAATAACTAGGCTTCATGAAAAACGAACTACAAGCGTTAACATTTTCTAATATTGACGATAGGATGTATTACAAATTTAAGGAAACCAATAGAAACTTAAGTGTTTTACAAGTTCAGTAATCATTCATGGACGTGATTACAACATGTAGAGCCCGATCAGACTTAACTGTCATTTCCACGTTACTAACTAAATTGATCGGTAAATTTCATTTTCAACTTTAGCCGGGGAGCAAATGAACTTCGAGTGTTAACTGTACGATAAGGGGACAGTAAATTATAACCGGTATCATTGGCGACATCACTTTGTCAAAAAGGAGAGGTAAAATAACCATAGATGCAAAAATAGTATACTCTATTCATCCACAGAGAGTGGTCACTAACGTAAAATAGCTATCACTCGAGCTTTGGACAAACCAGCAAAACGAATCCGTATTCTTCAAATTTCATAATGACATACTTTCATAGCGCATCAATTGTCGATATACTTCCAACAGCACATGAGTACATTTTGTTATTCTTCTATACCTTTTCATGTTTCCTAGATTTTTATCTCTTTTGATTAACAAAAACTTCTCATCCATGTAATCTCCTCTTGCATGGATAAGTTGTTGTAACGATCCAACCTTACGAAATGTTATTCCTAGTCTTTTAAAATCTTATGATCCCGCGACATGCACGGTGTCCTTCTTAATCCCATATATAGAACATCAGCCTAGTTGTCCACATGAACTTAATTAGTCAACGCTATGAACCTACATGATTTACTCTTCAGACACCTAGAGAACAGATAACAAATCATGGTTTAACATACGTACAGCACTAAGTTTGAAAGTGGAACTATCAGTGGTTTTGTTACCCCAATTAAGTACTTAATTATATGAAACTGTTTGAAATAATGTGAAATGGAGACGGAACGTTAAAGTCTTGAAGTCTACACATATGTATATTTACTTCAGCATATTCAATAAAAAATATTTTTCTTAATTATATTTTAAAAATCAGATATATGTATATATGCTTTTAATTCGCTAATATTTTTTTTTCTCTATTGCAATAAATGCACATATTTATTATTCACATAAATACAAAAATATTTTTACTAAGTAGTCATTCAAACTGCTATATGACATACCATAGTAACAATTGCACATTCTGGAGAAAGCTGGGCCATTTGGAATAAATTACGAATGAACCGATATACTGTTTTCAAATCTGGATCACGTGTAGCATAATCGAAAGGAACTGGCTCATTCTATACAACAACAAAAAACAATTATTTTTAAATGAAATGAAACTAACATGAAATATTTCAAATAGTTAAGTTTTAATCAGCTAATATATATATATATATATATATATATATATATATATATATATATATATATATCATCTTATGAAATTGCATACAATGATGTAACCATTGAAATTGTAAGTGTACAAACTGCAAAGAATTATTTATAAGGATAAAGTTGAAAGTACTGATAAGTTTTTCAAAGTGAAATAAAATTAAACATTTTGTATGACAGGGTCTAGTCATCGAGACCTAACGACTCTAATCTCCAAACTAACTTCCAGATTTACAGTCTATAGAATCTGGAATATACTTACTGACATATAAATACATTTTGGTGGGATCATGTGTTTTGCGATAGGTGATTTAAATGCGAACTATTACCAGAATTGTTGACCACAAGTATTGTTCATCAGGGTTACCCTTTGTCCCCTTTCATTTAATCCTGTTATTGATGTCCGCCTGGAAATTATACTTTCATCCTTTAACTTTCACAGATTAATTTCCAACAACGAAATTTCCTTGTCAATTTAGAGTAGTAGATTATGTAGTGTGGTTTGGGGAAGACCATGACAAAGTCCACTCTTCTGAGCACAATAAGCAACAATGCAAGCAAACTTGAGACGTTTTTCTCTCCCTCTAAGTGCGAAATGTTGCTTCAGGACTGGTCTGAGTCAAAGCCTGAACTAATAATGGGGAGTGAATTAATTTGTTAACTACTTCACTCATCATGGAAGTCCTATAGACCGCGATGGATTGGTGTCTAATAAAATCTCAGCAAAGATTCAGAAAGTTTTATTAGCTTTAGCAAACTTATATCACCTTCCTATCAGCTAGCCAAATGGTGAGTTAACTGTGTAGTATTCCGCTGTTTTACTAAATTGGTGTGACAAATACTCATTAACAAAAGAGGATATTTGTAGGATGCTAGAAGTCCATCAAATGTGTCTTCCAAGCTTTGGTCGTGTAGTGGAGAATAATCGAGTGAGTAATGCTAATATGTTAATAAGACGTGGCACCAGTCCACAAAGTCAATTACAATTAAACTGAGTCATGTTGATAAGTGCAGACAACCTGACTTGGTTGGTAACCGAGTGATTTTTGTGATCAATGTTTAGAGATTTTGGATGATGTGGTTTAAAATTGGTTAGAATGACCCAGGTTCATCCACTCCTTATCTTTCCTGAGATCTCGAGTCCCAATATTCCTCCATACATATCTTTTCATTCTTTCTTGTCGAACAACATTATCTATGTGTAATCTTCCATATTGATATTTCTAATACATCATTTAAACTCCTTTGTGTAACTTGGACCAGGTTTCCCAGTCAATCAGTCAGTCAGTCAGCTACGACGTAGGACCAGGCACATATGTGCATTGGTCGAAGTTGTCATACCTCATTAGCACAACAAGATGAACACCGGATTCATAGAAGTAGTTGTGGTAATTTATAAAAGAACTATTGTATGTAAGGATATAGTACAGGAGAGAGATTTTGGATTATGTAGTTTGAATTCGGTTAGAATGACCCAGGTTCATCCACTCTTTGTCCTCCATTGGATCCTAATTTTTCTAAATTATCTTAAAATTGTATTTTATTATTTCATGAATACCTATTTTCTCGAAACGTATATTCTATGCCTAGTCTTTCCTATCACGACTAATACTTACGATTTCTATTGCTCGGAGATTCATCTTGACAGTTTTACCTTGCCAAGTTAATGTGGTGTGACAATTTGAACCGAAGCATATATGCGTCAGATCCCATCTTGGATTTGACTTTCAGTATGGTTAATCCTAATATACGGACTGTAATTGTTAAAGTCTTTATCTGGTAAAAAAAGGAGCTTAAATCGGTAAGTGTAAACTAATCTCTAACTTTTGACATTTAATGCATATATACTTTAAATGAGGTTTCTCGCCACAAAGAACACACGCTACATAAAAACATTTAGTTTAAAAACAGAATATTAAAATGTTTATGACCAAGACGATAACTAAAGAAGTGACACATGTAAAATGGACGTTTAATTCAAATAAAAACCACTACTTCATAAACGTATATCGAGTATGAATTCTTTTAAATTTAATTAGATACTTTTCATCACGAAATAAAGACAGTTAGGCTGATATAAAAGACAATATTGAATAAATGTTTTACACTTAGTTTTAAACAATTATATAAGTGTTTTTTTGGAATCTCTCAGAACTATCTTTAAAGAATCGAATTTATTGTTATTATTATTATTTTAAAGTGCCACCTTTAAGAACCAAGTAAGCCTTCGTCTCATTCATGGAGTCCCATATAGAATTGAACTTTTGCCCTGTTACAGTTCCATTACTTTCAGAATTGTTCTATGGCTATTAAATCGGCATGTTAGCATATTTCATCATCTTTTCCTAAAATATAAAGCTGTTATAAAGTTAAGTCTTCGTTCTTAGTACTTGTGTATACATGTCATCGTTGAAAGGTTATTATGTACCAATTGTTTGATCTACCCAGCCACATTACATTCGTCCTTGTATTGTTAGTGTCTCTTTGGTCATTTTAGCCGATCAGTAACGAAATATAGCAGAATCGAACACATCAGGTCTTATGGAAAATGTATTATCATTGACCCACTGAAGAGAAGTATGATGGTATGTATTTTACAACTTCTGTTAATTTTAAAATTGGATAAGTAAAACAATTCTCAAAAAGTGGAAAAAACAAATATTATTAATTTCTCATGCAGTGACTCAATAACAACTCTACTGATGACCAGGAATATGAAACTAGATTTGGAGAACGTGACGTTTATAAGTTTTGAATAACAATGAAGCAATTGGTTAGTGTACCGTACTTTACAGTGGTTTTTCAACTATGTCAAATTTCGACTGAGACTCAGAGCTACATGATTACAGGTATAAAAAAAAACTTTAGCTTAGGCGGCCGGATAAAATAACTATTTTTTATCCAAATACGCGCAACTCCGTAGTCAAGAGCACTGACCTGTACATGACTATTGGGTTACATTAATTAAATACTTTTAAATCAGAATAAAATAAATTTCTTTACAAACTAAAGATAATGAAAAATCACCTGTATAGGATGTAAAGATTCATCGAATATTTCAATCATAGGATCACACGCAATTTTATGATTTCTATGCTTAATCTGTAAATAAATTGCCTGAGCTAATGCGCGAACAGTGGATTTAGGATCTGGTCTAGTTACAGTTGAATCATGCAGCCATATAGTTGATGTAGAACTGGAACGATAAAGTACAGGAATGGTATTTTGACGAGTTCGTGGAACCTGTAATGCACATAACGAAGAATATATATATATATATATATATATATATATATATATATATATATATATATATATATATATATATATATATATATATATATAGAGAGAGAGAGAGAGAGAGAGAAAAAAAATTAAATAATTTGGAAATTATTAATTACACTGAAATTATAATGTTAATTTGAAGGAGAGAAGTAGAAGTAGTTGTTGTACGTAATATTGAAAATAGTTTAGTCTTTATATCGGCATGTCAGTGTATGAACTATTTTGAATAATTGAATTACTTACACGGACTGATAATGTAACAGTTTTAAAGCATCAAAGCTTGGAATGGCACTTTGATTGAGAAATTATAAAATTGGTTGGAATGAGGAAATTGAATAAGTATCGTATAAAGATAAAAGACCCAATATATTTGGACCGAAACGAAGTCAATATGGTGAGCAGTTTGAGCTAAAACATACACAGTCACAAATTTGTCCAAATATATACCCAATTCGACAGTTCAATGTTCATCATCACCACTAACAAATATGAGCCTTGAAAACCAAGTATATATCTGTGAACTCTGCCATGAGCTACACTTTTTATGCAGGCGGTTAGTGATAATAACTAGGTGTTTAAGTTGACGTATGCTGAACAGATATCAGATAAGTAACTTCAAAGTTAATATTCGGACGTTTTAATCACTAACTTAGTAACTGATTCATACAAAACTCAGACTAGGATGATACAACTTGAAACCTTTCACCATCCAAACCTATTCTTACTTCAAGTAACTTAAATCGTTTAGATCAGAAAAAAATACATATAATATGACTTAGCAGTCACACCCATACAATAAGGATAAAAAGCAATACGCATCTGTGACGGACGTGTTCACCGTTCCTTATATTATACCTTACAGCCTACTAAATCTATAAGTGCCGTTACAGTCCCACAGTTTTTTGTTCTTATGTAGTATTATCGAGGAGCATGGCAAGAAAGTACTTTTTTATTCATAAACACAAGTTGATTTTGACATAAATAAATATCACAGATTGAAATCATGAGGCAATTGAAGCTAGACCACCATGGAAAACCTGAGAGCACTGGACAGCCGTTTCGTCCTAGTGTGGGACTCCTCAGCAGTGCGCATCTACGATCCCATACCCCGCGAGATTCGAACCCACGACCTATCACTCTTGCGCCAAGCGCTTAACCAACTGGACCACTGAACCGGCATCCAATGGTGCTACTGTGTAACTTCAACCAATCCACGAAGTTGCGCCACCGTACACTATTGTCTTCAGTGAGCTGATATCTCACAAGAGACCTGGTTGAACTCCACTGGTAACGGCTTCTCACTAGAACTCCAGGAGTATTTCTTGAAGTCAGTCACTAGTGAGCAGATGATTATTATCAAAAGGGGTTTGTGGAGATTTTAGAAATTTCACAGATTGAAATCATGAGTCAGTTGAAGCTAGACCACCATGGAAAGCCTGGAAGCATTGGACGGCCTGGGTTCGAATCTCGCGGGGTACGGGATCGTGGATGCGCACTGCTGAGGAGTTCCATACTAGGACGAAACGGCTGTCCAGTGCTCTCAGGTTTTCCATGGTGGTCTAGCTTTAATTGACTCACGATTTCAATCTGTGAAATTTCTAAAATCTCCACAAACCCCTTCTGATAAAAATAGATATCCCATTTAAAAATTTATTATTATGCATACAACATAAATATATATATAAGATAAAAACTAATGAACAAATAAAATATTACACTGTAAAAATCATCAAATATGAAAGTAAACGGTTATTTTCAAATTACAGTAAATTAGAAAAATACATATTCAATCATCAACTTACATTACGATCATATTTAGTTCGAATTTCACGAAGTTCTATGGAAATAAAAGAGAATTAAACGAAAAGTAAAAACCATTCTCTATTGAATTTAAAAAATAATATGTAAACAATGATATTAACAAGTGGCATTACCATGTTTTGACTTGATTTCATATAAATTGAGCATTGAGTAGATTATTATCAATAAAAATAATCTAATTGTAATATTCTACTGAGTAGAAAAATTAAGTTTTTAAATTGTTTGACATTTCGTAACTTGGTGTAGGCCACTTCTTCAGAGAATAAAAAACAAATTAAATTAACCCACGTCTCAATAGTACAAAGGAATAAACTAAGAATATTTGGTGCAAAAAATTAAGAAATCCCTAAAACTGTGCTTAGATACAACCTTGTTTACTTTTAACTGGACATTATACAACTAAACAAACGGAGTAGCAATGCGATCTTACGGGTCCCCGATTGTAGCCTACCTGTTTACGTCACATATAGAATCAAATATTTTCGCCAAAGACACTAAACCACGAATTTAGTTCACATATGTAGATGATACTTCTGTTACCATAAAAAGGACTCACCTAAAATTTTCCTCTAAATTGATCAATACTCTCTCGTTGCACATTAAATTTATGTACGAGAATCAAAGGGAACACGGTGAGCTGCAATTTTTAGATTGTTCAGTTAAAAGAAATCTAAGTGGAGCTCTAAATCTAACCATTTACCGAAAACCAATACACTCAAATCGTTGTATCGACTTTAATTCCGAACACCATTCAATGCAAAAATCTCTCTAGCCCTAAACCTCTTTAGAAAAGTAAACAAGATTACTATATCTGAAGAGTATAAACAAAAAGAACGAAAGGATATGATTAACGGCTTACGACTCAATAATTTTCCTATGAAGATTATTAAAAGTGCGATATAACGAGACGTCTTACTGTTAAATAATAATCCGAATGAAATACCATGGATTGGTACTGTAGTTTTACCATACCACCATAGTATAACAGAACTCGAGTCTTACAAAACAATGAACACCCTTCGAAACGCTTTGGTTCGCATAAAGGAAAGAATCCCCTTTATGTCAACACAAATTATATCTACAAATTAAGATGTGTCGGTTGCGGTGCCTTCTATATTGGAGAGTCATCTCGTGAAATCTTGACTCGAACCAAAAAACACCTTAGGTAAACAAAGAAACCGTAGAACTGGAAAGAAATAAATTAAATAGGCAATGGCAGTCGATACCATTTTCAACAACCATCAAGTCGCTATTAAAAACGCCAAAATAATACAAAGAAGGCTTTTCCAACTGCAAAGAAGAGCGAGTAGCAGGTTTCCATATGTTGCTTAATTTTACTGTCCTCATTGGAAAAGGAGACCACACTACCCTCCGACTTCGACCATCTCTTCGAGCTACCATGTCTGATTTTATTCACACCTCACACCATTATCGTACATACAAGTTCAACTCTCCTTTCACATCACAAATGTCACATTTTTCATCCTTTAACATACATACACAAAAATATGCAAATATGCCTCACATAAATCATCTTGACCGGAATAACATGACATTGATTTGATTAGACATGCTTTGATTGATTGCGCCAAATATTCTTACTTTGTTCCTTTGTACTATTTAAACTTAGGTTAAATCAATTTGTTTATATATTCTCTAAAGAAGTGGCTTGATGATATTAACAATTTACGGAAAATTACAATTACAAATTCCAAGCATGAAGTGAACAAAAACTAAACGCCTTCGATTAAAATGGTTGGAAAGAGTAACATTTTTAAAGTGCCTTGTATACTTGATTAAATTGGTAATAATGTCCACCTTCACAAACCAATAACTCTGATTTGAATAACTAATCCAACACAGAGTAACACCGTTTTTGAAAGAGGTTATAGAGAAAAGGTGTAGTGCTCCGTAAATATATCAATCTAGTATTTGTGCTATTAAACAATAATTGAAAAGGTAGGCACTTATTTCTAAAAAGATCTTTTCATAACACAAAGATGACTAAACTAGTTTGTGATCCACGCTTGTATTCATCCTCTACTACAGGAAGTGTTGCACAGTCGATGCTTCGTAAAGTCTGTATATTTTTATGAGCGCAGATGACTTTAATGATATTTTTCTGAAGTCTAACAGTAATAATGTTTTAAGTCTTTTCCGTTCTCTGTAGACTAGGTTGTTTAAATTATAATGGATTCCGAGGTTCATTTGTTTCAATGATAAATATATTACACTAAAATAGGTCGATTTTCAATGTCGATTCGGGTTTTAGTCAAGTTATCATCAGTACGATAGAAATGGATTAATTTCTTGATACGCTGTGTTTATTGGGGAAAAACTTTTTTTATAAAAAAGCGGTAAATTATATAAAAAGTTACTAAGTAATTAATTACTTTATCGATAATTACATGCAATCAGTCGTGAAATTAAATCCCAATATACCAAAGCTTGTAACAAAAAGTTAATATCAAACTAATCACTTAAGTTGTTTTAAAAAATGACCGATCAAATTTCAGTTTTAAATATCAAATCTGGAGTGGAACAAGCTCCTACGAATGGAGAAACAATGAAATAAAGGAATAAAAAGTATGAGATGAAATTAAGGTCTAGGAAAATTAAAAAGTCAATGCATCTGCCCTAATAGAAAATATTTGGATTCTTCTTAACTACAGCCTCCAACCCCACCTATGACGACAGCTCACACCAATATCCAATGACCTCATTAAGCGGATTGATTTACTCATAACTAATTCCTTATCGAATTGTATAGTTTCTGTTCAAATAGCTAAGTAGTTGTTTACTGAAAGATATTAATATTTGATCGATTTAGTGGCACATTTACTTAAATATCATGTACCAAGTAACCGAAACAGATGCGGGTTTTACTATAGAGTATATGTGTATGTTACTTACTATTCAATAAGTTAACCTTGAATTGAGCATTAAACATTTAGTACAAATCAATTATTTTTTGGTTACTGAAATGGAATATATCACCGACAAATAACCGAATCTCATTATACTGATAATATAATTAGGTTGTTATGCTAAGGTTACAACGAATACACGCAATGTACTACTTGGTAAATAACCTATGTAGGGAAACGAATCCATTGGCATTACACTTACTGCCAAGTAGTGCCTAGAATTGGTGGGGAATATTTGTAGCTCAGATGGATGATTTTGGTAGAGTGCCTAGAGTCTGAGGAGGAACGTGAACTACATTGTGAGTAGTCTAAACCAATAAACAGTTACTGCAAATTGCTGTTAACTTAACCCTGCTGTAACTTACTTCATATAGGTATTTCACTGAAGAAAAAGTAAAAACTAGAAGAATTATAAATCAGACATTCAATACGGTTTGTACTATTCCAATTACTCTTAAGTAGCGATATCTCTAGTCAATCAAGATAGACAAATAAAAATGACAAATTATTGACAGATAGATGTGAAATGGGTATAATCAAGTGCACGAGACAATCGCTTTGAATAATCTAACTCTGTAACGATGAAGAGTGTTGCACCGTAGATTATGAAATATAGCATTTGTGATAGAGATAATGATCATGAAACTGACTGATTCCATAAAGGTAGGTGAGGCAATATTTCGGCTTCTGATCTTTAGTCTTAAAATTCAATGTATGAATCTCTGAATTGCGACGCTACACAGAATGTGCATTTTATATAATAATTCTACTTGGGTGATAAAATAGGCAAGAGGTGAACGAAATGCACATGACTGACACATAATTATTCTAGCAACCTTACTCAGATGACACGAGAAGAAATGAATTCCCATGCATGAAATCCGTCCATTTCTAGTAATTTATAACACCATGCAAATACGCTCCATCAACAAACTATTCCATCAGGGAATGTCCTTATAACGGATTTACTCGATAAAGCGTTTCATACATGCATACAAACAGCGTAAATATATTAAACCTGAAACTAATCATGTAAGTATTTCGCAATACGGGCTACGATATATATTTAATAACAAGATGTTACATTTTTAAAATGGAGATTTTGTGTATGGAAGAAAGAACTTAGTAAAATCAGTGCTTCTGTTTTGTTTTTACAAATCTAAAAAGATTATGAATTACGATGTTAAGGCTTTTTCAATCAATTAGTTAATACAGAACAAAAGTTCGATAAAAATAATACATTGTGCTAAATGATAATACAACAAGAATATAGAAAATCAATAAACAGCATGAGTGATCACTACAGTCTTTTTTTTAAATAAATGAAAAACTTTTAAGCTTGGAGTTTAACATTGTTTCTTTATCAATTTCTTTACTCATATAATTAATATACACCTGAAACCTTGTAAACATTACTTTGAAATATACATGTTATGTGAAGGCTAAAGATGTTTTAAACATAAGTAGGTGGGAGCTGAAATCAAAACCTTAATCTAAAAGTTTAATCCAATTGAGTTACGGTACCACGTTGGTCTGCTTAATAATTCTAGGTCTAATGCTCACCCGTTTTCCTTTCGGATATCCATTATTATTACCGCCCATCTATATGAACAATCACAATGCAAACGCGTAGCTCATTTAAATTTCACTTATTTTCATTCTTTTAATTGTTATGGATTAATTGGCATACTTCTTTTCATGTATTAATTAGTTCTTGTTAAGCTTTTATGACTCAATGGCTTTTGAAGAAATAACTTGACATATGTTGTTCGTTCACAAGTGGATGCTTTAAAGTGATACTTTCATGAGATGAAACTATTGACCAATACTGAGTCCACACAGAACAATGCACCATTGACGTTTTGAAACAATATACACTGAAGAGGCTAAGTAACCAATGACTATAAACCATTATTAAGTCTTGTGAACCTTTTCAGGAGGAGGACTCATCAAAGTCTGTCACAATCATCCAAATATGTCAGTCAGTCAGTCAGCTACAACGTAGGATCAGGCACATATGTGCATCGGTCCAGGTTGACATACTGCACCAGCACAACAAGATAAACACCGGATTCATAGCAGTGGTTAGGTCAAAGGTGGTAATATATAAGAGAAAGATTGCATATAGAGATATAGTACAAGAAGAAAGAATTGGTTCGTAGAAAGAAAGATATGAAGTGATTTTAATCTCTTAGTTTAAGGGAAGACAGGGAGTGTATACACCGACGCCATTGTGATCCATTCTGAGCCATGTCACCCACAGTCTCCAACCATTGGTTACGAAAGTCACGCGTACCCCAACCAAGTAGTCTGCATCAACCAACATGGCTCACACTAGAAGTTAGTGACTTCAAGCACTGATGCCACGTTTTGGTTTGGCCGCCCCTAACTTTCTTCCAACCATCTCCAATACCGGATAGTATTGCACGTCGTGGTAATCGGTGTTCAGGCATACGTAACACGTGGCCCAACCATCTCAGTCGATGAAGACTCATGACCTCATCAACTGATTTACCATCATTCCCTAACACCCTACGTCTAACCTCACTATTACTTACCCGGTGATCCCAGCAGATGCGAGCAATATTTCTAAGGCATCTGTGGTCAAATACTAGTAACTTACGAGTGTCTTCCACACTTAAAGGCCATGTTTCGCAGCCGTAAAGTAAAACGGAACGAACTGCTGAGCGGTATACTCGTCCTTTTATTGATAGACAGATATCTCGCCTTCACCATAGGTGACGTAAGTTGGCAAAAGCCAAGCGAGCTTTACGAATCCGTGCTGAGATTTCGTCAGACACCAACCGATTTGGGCTGGTCAGACTTCCAAGATAAGTGAAGTTGCCAACGCGTTCGACTACTTCACTCCCTATCCTTAGTTCAGGTGTTGACGCAGACCAGTCCTGAAGCAACAACTTGCATTTAGAGGGAGAGAAGCGCATTCCAAACATTCTGGCATTGTTGCTTAGTGCTACCAAAAGACTCTGCATTTTATCAGCGTCTTCACCAAACAGGACTATGTCATCTGCGTATTCTAAGTCGATAAGTGGACCTCCTGGTAGGAGATCAATACCCGAGAACTCAGTCGACGAGAAAGTTATTTCCATCAGTAGATCTATGATGAAGTTAAACAAAAATGGGGAAAGTGGACAGCCTTGACGGACACCACTTGAGGTTGCAAAAGTAGATGACAGTTCGCCATAAGCTCTGACTCGACTGGTAATGTTCGAGTAAAGAGCCTTTCAAATATGGGTCACTTTTGAATAAATAGGAGAAAACGAGAGTGATAGGATAAAATGAAATGATGTTTATTAACCAGTACACCAACTGAAGTTAGACATTAGAGAAAGATATCTTACTCTTCATTGATAAAGACAAAATTATACTAATGATAAAATTTATCAGTATTAATCAAACGTGTGGAATGTTTACAACAAACTAAGTAAAAAACATACTTCTTTCAATGTCTTTACTGGAACGTTGCATAAATAATGTTCTTTTAGTTGGATTTAAAGATGGATCAGCCTCAGTATCTAAAAAATGGATTAGGACAAGAACACTGTGAGTAAGCTGTTAAATACATAACACGGTGTAGCACAATCTTGTGAATATTCACGACTCAACAAGTACAAAATTTATTTCTAAATAAACAGTAATAAATTAAGCATAAATAAAAAACGCTTAAATAAGTATTAAATGTTCGGAAATAGTCAATAGGAGGCCATGAACTTATGTTTCATAACTAAAGGGACACTATAATTTTAAGTATAAAACGTCCATTAGGTTGGTATTACTGTTGCTTGGGGCTGGAACCATGTCATTCATTGCTATAGTCGGAAAAATTTTAAGTACTAGATCCCATCATTGGATAGGTCAGTCAGTCGTAAACAGAGTAGAATGTGGGACAAGTGTGTACTGGGTCAAGATCGTAACCAATGGTTGGAGACTCTGGGTGACATGACTCAAAATCAATAACAATGGAGTAGGTGTATATACTCTATGTCTTCCCTTTAAGAGATTAAAATCACTGTACTATGTCCTTACATACAATAGTTCTTTTATAAATTACCACAACTACTTCTATGAATCCGGTGTTCATCTTGTTGTGCTAATGAGGTATGACAACTTCGACCAATGCACATATGTGCCTGGTCCTACGTTGTAGCTGACTGACTGACTGATTGACTGGGAAACCTGGTCCAAGTTACACAAAGGAGTTTAAATGATGTATTAGAAATACCAATATGGAAGATTACACATAGATAATGTTGTTCGACAAGAAAGAATGAAAAGATATGTATGGAGGAATATTGGGACTCGAGATCTCAGGAAAGATAAGGAGTGGATGAACCTGGGTCATTCTAACCAATTTTAAACCACATCATCCAAAATCTCTAAACATTGATCACAAAAATCACTCGGTTACCAACCAAGTCAGGTTGTCTGCACTTATCAACATGACTCAGTTTAATTGTCATTGACTTTGTGGACTGGTGCCACGTCTTGGTTTGATCAACTCCAACTTTCTTCCAGCCTCCTCTTACATATACGAACATCACCCATTAAGGCAGATGACGGTCATACATACGTAATATGTATCTCAACCACTTCAATTGATGAAGACTCATAACCTAATTCACTGCTTTCGAATCTTCGCCTAGTATCCTGATTCGGTCTAGGCATCAGGGCAGTATCAAACCCCACACACAAATCAAATGAAATGAAATGACTTCGCCGAGTGCTCTATGGCTGAACTCGGCATTACTCACTCGATTATTTCAAAATACATGGCCAACGCTTGGGAGATACTTGTAATCTTTTGTTGCACGCTTACACATCAATACTCCGAAATAACTACTGGTCTGCGGGGAATGGCTCCTTAAGAAATCCACCGAGCAGTATTCCAGCCCTTACACAAATCGAATGATTTGGTGTCTCGTTGTATCAATGTTTATGTGTTGAAATGAAGAAATACTAGTAATTAATAAAACAGTCAGGCCATAATTGATTGAAGAACAAGCGACCTACAAGCTAGTTTCCTTCAATCATCTATGATTGTCAACCATATTTATTTTGTGTTCATATTCGGTATCTAAACGAGTTACTTTATTACGTGAGAAATGAGTTTCTCTGGGTTAGTGGTCTTGTCTTTGATTTTAAATCATTTGCAGCCTTAAGTCAATAACACTGTTTCATGAGCAGCCATCACTCCGTTATATTTCACAGCATTGAGTTTGTTTATTGAATAGCGTTCTATTCACTGATTTTAGCAATAGGAATTTCAATCATCAAAATCCTTTGTCCATAACAACTTAACGCTTTTTCAGACAATCAATCAGTGATATAAAATCAACGTATGGCATAGACGAGTGTTCATTGAAGTTTGAGTAAAAACGAATACGTAACGTGAATGATATTAAAAAGCATATCAGATTATTGCTTTAACACATAAAAATGCAAACTACCAGCTTACACACATAACAAAAATAATTCGTAATTAATATTTAGAGCATAAAACGTTATAATCAAACAGCTGTAGTGTCTAGCATTATGTCAGGCCCACATGGGTCGCTCAAGCTTCCGGACAGGCCGATTTATTTGTCACTCTAAAGTCACACTTTAACCTTGTCGGTTATTCGCTTACAACCTTGACTGATTTTATATGGGCGTGTATGTATCGCTCACAACATTCATCACATGTCTTTAGCTTATTTTCGTCTGGTTAGAAATATTGATTTCCGCTTTATCAAATGGAGTTGGCGCGCTTGTCTTTCCGATCTGCTTCACCATTCCGTTTCTCTGATTGCCTGTGTGGGACGAGTGTATGAAATATACATATCCAAAATTCATGCTCATATTTGGTTTATTTGATTCCGCTATTCACTAACGCGAGTTAAGTTGATAATTATATACGAGGGTATCCGGGATGCATATTTCACTAACATCATCGTTTGACCAAATTGGAGTCAAATAAGTGGGCCACGAAACATCAACTAACAAATAGCTTGTTGAAGGTTCAAATTAACTTGGTACTTTAATTATGAAAACTTATCATCGACCGAAAGACTTACCATCTGGTTCTCTCTCTGAGATATGCTGCAAGTTTGAAGTGCTTGATTGTGTGTAGACTGAGGAAAGCATAAAGTCTGAAGGTTCGACGCTCATACCAAAGTCCCCTTGTGTTCGATAAGAAAAGTCTCTCACCCCTTGCATATCTCCCAGAGGAGCTGGACCATTGTGTCCTGCTCTAGAAATGCGACTATCTGAACGATAAGGATAAGAATTATTTAAATGTGAAGGATCATTTGATAAAGAACGATAACCAGATAAACCATCCTTGGCACATTCCGAGTGGCAACTTGATTGTGATTTTCCTACATGGCCAACATGATTAGGAACGGCAGATCCATAATTGATGACATTTGTTTCACCCATCGGTTTGTCATGAGACTTCCAAGCACAACAAGCACAAAAGTTTCCCATTTTTAGTTTGTATTTTGAGCTAAACACATAGAAGTCGAAGGTACTACTAACTCATTGTTCGAACAAAAGACAGGCTGAAATTTTTCAAAAAAACATGACTTTATTTATATTTCTGTATTATAAACACATTAAATTCAGCATAATACTGTCTTAGACCTAAAAGTAAGTCAGTGTACTAGTAAACATTATTTCTTATTCGTCAACGGATACTTGTTCATTGGATTGGACCAACTTTAACCAAAGCATACATAGTTAGGAACTTAACTAACTAACAGTTAATTGTTCAGGTTGTTGTTGCCTTATACTATAATTCACATAATCAGGATGAAAAGATTTCGGATGTGATTTAAATAGAGAAAATGTACGTTTTTACAATGTCATTTTGCAGAGTACATAATTTCGTACCTTATACAGTATCCTTAATCCAAAACATGGTTAGTAAAGAAATATGTTTATGCTAATGACAATGGAAGAAATAGCGACTGAAGTAGTAAATTATTGTAACAACTTTGACGAACAAACATCTCACGAATAAATTATCCAAGGATTGAAAGTCTACAACGACTATGACTTGATGGAGTATAGAGTCGTGCATGAAATGGGTCAGTGAAAATTGTGGCCTTTTAGTGATTGTAGTGACTGAAGGATGTACTTAATATCATGAGCCATACCCTGACAGAATGTGGATTGCTGCCTAGAGTACTACTGGATCTAGAAAATGCTGTGGAGAGACTTCATAACTACATTGATTCATGCAGTTACCGACTGTAAGTTTAAGCCATTTTAGCAATGCGGACGCAATTACTAAAGATATCCTAGGTATCATGACTCAAAATTTATAAATGGTGTGCGTGGTTTTATTCCTTAACTGGTTTCGTATCTTAAAAATCTAATTCTTCAACATTTGCTCACTTCATATAGACCAAGAACCTTCATGACTCTATTATAATCACTTGTTAATTTCTTTATGCGGCATCATGAAATTTAAGGATAAAAACATAATATAAGCAAATTTATGTCAATGCGGCTAATATTTTGAATCAATGCTTAATACATGATCCACCCCGAGTTTCATCTAATTAATACAAATAGCACAGCTCTGATTCACATCACTTGATGGAGGTCATGAAGCACCAAACGATTTACCGACATACTCTTGAATATGGTGGTCTTGGATGCAGTCAGAAGTATGAGGGCAGTTATCACTTCCTGGTTGCCCACGCCGTGGAAGGGTTCTTCTAGAGGTACCCAAAAATGAAATCGGGTTAGGGTTGGTCTTAGTGACCTGATAGCGTGACCGCAGTGCCCGAGAGACAAGCGCTAGAGATCGGTCACACGACCATTTTGTGTGTAATTTTTGTGTTAGCTCCATACATGAGAACTTACTTCCGGAGACGAATATATGTGAGATAAAGTGAGATGTGCATTTTTAGGGTCAACCTTTTCTAATCCCATCCTTCCTTTGTGGGAGTGCAGCATCGCTATTATGCTGGTTGTCTAAAAGAAACTCCATACTGCTAGCACACCTCTGTACAGTTAACAGTACAACTTCGCCCTCGGACCTTGGTTTTGCCGCCTTTAGTCTTACCGCTCTTCAACCAACATGTCTAGCATGGTAGGACCCTGAGGAACGACTGTTTCAGCCAATATAGCCCGATCGGTTTATCACAATAGGGAAACCTGACCGCCACATCAAGGTAGCAGCAACGGTTGGGGAATTCAAAGCCGCTAACAGAGCAGTCTTGTCCAATTTTGGTCTTACACAGTTCCCCTCCATTTTCATACACTAGTCAAAATAACTGAAATAGATGATTACTTCTTATCCACAAAATATTCCGATTAGTTGATTTTATCTGGGATAGTCAGTTAGCTGGTCATATCCAACTAAGAATCCCGGGTGAGGATAACTATTTCGGTTTACCAGTGTTATCATCGCAGAGAAAATCACGGAGATGTAACGAGTAAAAGACAAGATATAAAGTGCAATGAATCTAAGCATGGAGAATACAATTTACAAGCCACAAACGAAAATTAAGAATCGAAAACATAAAATGACACCAAACTAAAGATTAAGTATAAATGCAACTGTTCAGTGGGATTGTGTTATCCGGCGGCTTGGAACATTCGCAGTTTAGACCAGTGGTATTTCAAGTTTCAAACTGTTGCATAGACCAGGAGACAGAATAGGGACTTGAAAAAAAGGTTTAATATTGAGAAACAAGTAGAATATGTTTTTAAAAGGACCAATTAAGCTAGAACACAACAGAAGACGGAATTAAGAGGAAAATTAGCCTCCAATCGACACTTATTTGCTGAACGTTACATGCAAAGCACTACAAGTTCAGTAAAGAGTACAACCATAAGGACATATGTATCTTTAAATCTAACACGTAGATAAGTTTATAGTGACCTAAAAATGTGGTGCACTTTGGGAATAAAGTGCTAAGCCTGCCACCTCACACACCTCGTAACTCAGCAGTAAAGCCTTCACCTCCAGTAATTATACAAACCACATGCTTCAGCCGTTGTGTCGATAACCTTGTAATTATGACCACCGTTTAGTATCTACACAAAATGGCACATATTAAAATATTGGCGTACTAGGAATTCGGATTTACAAATTCCCTTGCATTAAATACATAATTCAGGTTGCAAGTTACCCATGAGCCCGAAGACCTTGAGATTCATAGTAGCCAGATTTCGGCGCCAGAAACATAACCCTCAATCTTTTTCTACAGAAGAAACTGTAATAAGTCTTCTGTTGTAAGGATAGGAGGTTAGTGGGCTTATATTATTCTCATAACCTGCAGTTAGGCAATGGAAATATGTTTGGTCGTGTCAGTCGGTCTTCATAAGATAAGCCAGAGAGACCATTTGCCATTTTGGTCCATTGCCGTTCTAGCCTATCCGCTTCATACTTGAAACAAAGACTCACCACTTGAATCACATATTTCAAATACGGTTTTGAAAAAGTCGGATACAACACCCTGGACATTTATTTGTCGAAGTAGTAAAATGACTAGAATGTCCTATGGGACTCTGAAGCCTTCGATAGCAGCAGCCTTGCATTTACTTGTTGAGTATTACGACTACTTGGTCTTTGTAGTCCATTACTTTAGGTGACACAGCTTCACTTATTCTGTGGTGATATAAATCAACGCAGTTATTTATTTGCAACACCACACTTTTATTGAACTTAACTTCAAGTGATTACCTACACATTCACTTAGCCAGTGAATTTAGGTCATCATGTAATGTTATTCAATTCGACATGCTGTGTGTGGGTCTCCAAATATTTATGTCATCTGCAGAGAGTAAAACATATGTTTTTACTATAGTTCACAGATCATTTACATAAAGTATAAAAGGAAGGAGAACGAGGATTGCACCTTGATGAACTTCACAATCTACAAATTCCCACGTTGATAAAGCCCCGTTCGCCCATACCTTCTTTCACTGAGAATGTTACTTATCCAGCTCATAGTTTTCATAATGAATCCTGAAACGATCTAGTTTTAACTCAAGACCAAAATAAGAGACCTTGTCAAAAGCTTTACTTACGTCTGTGAAAATTACATCTGCTGGACCATTTTAATCTCCCAGTGCAGCCAAAGTTTCCCTTGCAATGAGCAGATTTGCCAGGCGTAAAATGCCTTTCCTAAAACCATACTGTTCTATGGATAAAAGATTATTCACATTCACATGATTTGAAATGGCCATTCAAGTAATGTTTCCCACACGCTTGACAAATAAACTGATTAGAACAACGGATGATTAGTTACTAAGTTTCTGCTACCCGCTCTATAAACTGGACCGATGATTGCGTCTTCCTAGTCCCTTTGGAGTCTCGACTAACGCAAAGACATATCAGGCAGCATTGTAAGAGGTTCGACAATTACATCCGCCAGCGTTTTTATTATCAAGGGATCAAGACCATCAGGATTACTGGCCTTGACTGGTTTAAGGTGGTGAAGTAATCGCAAAACAGTTCAATCGACAAGCCTTCACTATCATCAGTGATGGTTGATCATTCATCATCATTGGTAGAGAACACACTACTAGAAACTTCTGATGAAACTCGACCTTTTACAACATCATTTTCTGTCAATATTAACGGATTTACTTGCATCAGAAATGGTGGAGTTCCATCACTTCTACGATATCCCTTCTTTGAAAACAAGAACAACCTTTCCAAACTGTTTTCACAATCCTTAACCAATTGTTTTGCATACGACAACAACATTTTTCTGTTTGAGCTCCACGACTATTAATCAACAAATTGCGTCCGCGACCTTTGTAAATGGTTTGCCAGGGATGAGTAATTGCAGAGCCATATGTTTGTCACTTAACAGCTGTTTTATTGAGTCAATTGTTCTCCGCACCTCTTCCGTCCATTTAAATATTTCGTTACTCACAAGTCTGTGGAGTGATGCTGCAATCTCACTGAAGTTTGTCACGGAGAGACTATAAAATGCCGTTCTCTCTTTGAACTGTCACAAATTCCTTTAAGAAGTGAGCGATGTTGACCGCGAGCATTTTTTCGAGAGGCATGTTTATTACACCTTCTTAAACTTCATATGCTTACAGGTTAAAATTAGTCTTCGGTATCTGAGACTTCTTGTTGATTTCCAGGCCAAACATTAATTCTCTTTAATACAGCCTACAAATGTCACTGATGGTCCTTCTTTTTTTGGGTTCACAAACCAGATCATCTCCATATACTTATAAGTTCTTAGGATTTCGAAGTAATAATGTCACCAGTCTTCTGGAAGTAAAAAGCTCTCCAGCTGATCCACAGGGAATTCGATTAAATTGGTATTGTCTCTGCTCCGCGCTGGCGCTTATTTTTGTTGGTAGTTGTCAATATTCTAATCGGAGGTCCAATAACACAAACACTTGAGCTTGCTGTAGGAGGTCTAAATTTTTTACCACTACTGACGTTATGCACAGCTTCAGTTCAGTTATGTTATCTAATTCTCGAAAGTCGACACAAAATCATTACTTTTCATTGGATCTCTTCACCAGTAGAATGAGTGAATTGTATGTGCTTTACTTCTACACTCATTCCATCCCTTAACATTTCCATTTGAAATTTCGCTTCTGTTTCTAGATGGACAGGAAGCTGACGTGCATAAAATGTCTTTCAGCGACTAATTGTGGTAATTTCAAGCATCACAATGCCCATTAGCTTCTCCATCATCAGTGAACAAATTCACCTATTTTACCACTAGTGTTCCAACATCCGTTACATCATTTTTTAATCATGGTTGCTGTTGTACCCCCGCTATTCTACTGCTTTCGCATACGATAAATTGTTCATGCTAAGTGGTCACCCCATTATCAGTGTCGATTTCTGCCCTTATTTCCTTCAAAAAATCTGCTTCCTGTATAGTCTGTCGTATTCTGTTGTTCACGATGAAGGTATATAGCAATCTACACCCGTTCATTTTGAATCAACAATCTGCAACCTCTAAACATTCTAGAGCCCGTTCGCTCAACGTTTGTACTGCTAGTATTCCCAGTCTGACCTTTCAAGTGTCTTTTTTGACGATATAGCCGCGTTCATATGAACTGATCGAACCAAGGTTTTCTCACTCACTCGCATGCTCGTGTACAATGCACCTCTATTTACTAACGCAAAAACCTCAAGCGTCGTTTTAACAACAAAAGACGTTACATTTAAGTGGGTTGTCTTTCAACTTTCTGAGGCAATCCCTCCAGTGGTGTTAAACGGTCCCTCACTCTAATCATCCAACATTTCCCTCAGCACCAACACGTATCCCCGCTCCTCCACGGAGATATGTCCTACATTCACTCGTTAATGATGTTACAGTCGAATTCATCAGGTGCCTAGCTGCTCTAGCCATCCATTGGCTTTACAACATTTTCTACCTTAAGTTGTTGGACCATCATCCCGCAGGCATTCGACGAAATGAGATATCAGCAGCTGCTCTTTCGCTTCCCCTTTCAGCGTAGACAACGCATGTCAAAAAGGTGTTGGTCGAGATGTATGAAAATACATGCAGGTCTCCATCAGGAGCGACTTCAGCGAGTGAGTTCACTGCCCTGCTGCGAAGCACTGTTGAAGACCAGTAGCATAGGTAATCCCTGTCGAATTACTGGAGTCCTGATCGAGTTGGATGGGAACGGTGTAACCAGCCAGCTTGCGTCTAAGTCAGCTCTCACAGTTTATACCTAACGTGGGTTGCCCTTTCCTCATATTCAAGTAAGTTGGCCGCTTTTATAACCGTGCGACACGGATGGCGTTACTACTGAAGTATGTTAGTAAGAGTAAGCACAAGGAGCAGAGTAAGACCACTGCTGTATGAACCAGTCTATGGTGTGTATTTAACTAATGCGCGTTAGTTGTTCTTGACCTTGGCGAAGACCGGTGGAACGTCCTACATTCAGTGATCTGATTGCCGTAGGATTTGTCAAGTGTTGTGACATTTCAACGGTACTTCCATATTTCCCCAACGGGCGTTTGAATCTGCGCTATACACGTTAGGGGTATTCATGAGCCGAAGGTTTCCAAATGATCCATGTAGACCCTTCGGGTATTGCTGAGCTGTAAGACAAATGGAAAGGAGGCAGCAACAGCTGGTCGGGAAATAGAGAGTAACAATGATCATCGGAAAGTTCGATTCGTCGCTGTGCTTAAAAGTGTGACATACAAGTTAGTTAAATATCAAGCAATCAACAATGACAGTGATAAAATTCTATGACATTTTAAGGTTCTATAAATCCGTATTGAAATGCAATGCGTTGACAAGTGACTGGGGTTCTCAGATAGGCAATGTCCAGTTCGCCGCGAGAGTAATGACGCTACAATGTCAGTAGGAATAGTGCATAATCAATTGATGCTGATATTTGCACTGTTATTAATCTAAATTAGTGAATAAGCCTGTGATGTTGACAGATTTTATGTTTGTAGGTGTCATTACCAAGGTTTGATTTGATAATTTCGAATAAATTGAGCATTGAGTTAATTGTTATAAATAAAAATAATATATTTGTGATATCTCAATGAGTAGAAAATTGAATTTTCTGACGTTTCGTGACTTAGTGTAAGTCACTTCTTCAGAGAACAAATAACCAAATTAAAATTAATCCAAGTTTAAACAGTACAACAGAACAATGCAAGAATAATATTTGATCAATCAAAAACAGGTCTGAACAAGTTGATGTCATGTCATTTCTGTCAAGGTGATTCATAAGTGATATGTATGTAAAGTTGTGTGTATGTATATGTGCATTGTTTAAGAATGAAAACTTGTGTGACCTTTATGGTAAGAAAGGATAGAGTTTAAATTTGTAATATGATAGTGTGAAATTATAAATACGATCAGACTGAATGACTAGGATAGATGGTCCAAGTAGGATGTATAGTAAGACCTTCCTTTCTATTGAGAGAAGTAGGATTAAGGATTATATGGAACGCCTCAGCTAACCTCCTTTCTTTGCAGTTGGAAAAGCCTTTTTGCAATATTTTGATATTTTTAAAATTGATTTGGTGGTTGTTGAAAATGGCATGAACTGCTATTGCCGATTTAATTTGAAGTTGGTTCAATTCTACAGGATTGTTAGGAGGTTTCTTTGTGTACCTAATATGTTCTTTGGCTCTAGTCACGATTTCGCGGGATGACTCCCCAATATAATAGGCATCACAATCAATACAACCTAATTTGTGGACGCAGTTCTGTGTGGACATGAA